ATGAGACCGATAAGTAAAAAGTAGTAATACTGCAATGTAATGAGTTCTGTAATAGAAATCTGGAGGAGATGTCATGGGAATAAGGCAAGAGAGAGAGATTTTCTCGTAGCTGGTGGGGGAAGTCAGTTTTCAATTTTCTCATCCATCAAATGGAGATGAGAATAACTCTAGTCCTACTGGCCTCATGAGTTCTGTGTGAAACTAGAATAAAAGGCTATTGTGTAAATACTTTGGAAATTATAAACTATTATACAAATACTAGTTATTGTGGTTATTGCATAGGTTACCTACTGACTTTTATCTGCTTCAGGACTCATAGAGCATGAGGGTCGTGATGTTGTCATTGCTTTGAAGACTAAGCAGGCAATCCGGAATGTGATTTCTAAATCTCTGAAAAATCTCAACTTCCTTTGCTCAAGAGGCATTATTGATAAATATGAGGGCATCGAGATGAATAAGGTAACAGAGAAATTTCCCATTTTGCTTAATTCCATCAGCGCAACAGCCCAGCCTGCACTGTTACGTTAGCAGAGTGTGATGAGAAGGGAGATTGGAAAGAAGTGTTTAACCACAGGTGTTAACTCTGTGATTGCCTGTAGATGCTGATGATGCCAATGGCAACCCAGGCCAGTGCTGCCTCGTGCATTCCATTAGTCAAAATTACTTGGTTGCAAGTAACAAAAATGAACTTGAGCTAAGTTTAGTTAATAAATGGGGTTAGGGGATTTGTTAAAAGGACACAGAGTGTCTTACAGAGCCCACAATAGCCAGGCCATGTGGCCAGGCTACAGGAAGAGACTTAAAATGAGGACCTAGAAAGGTTTCCAGATTCTTCATTTCCTATCAGCATTGCCCTCTGTGGCATCTTCCTTTGGCTCCCTCTATAGGCTCACTAGATTTTTCTGCTTTTCCATCCACTGCTGGACTATGGACTGCCCAGTCCCACTTACTGTACCAAAGGAGGTGGGTGTCACATAGTATTTACATGGTGGGGAAGGGACCAACCAGGTGTCTGTGTGTGTGTGTGTGTGTGTGTGTTGGTGGAGGCCAGGGAAGGGGAAGTTCTGAGAGAAGAGGAGCAGGGAAGATACCCTAATTAGCTAATAAATGGACTTCTGAAATATTATAAATGTATTTGCAAACAAATTAGGAACTTGAGATGGGGGGGTGGAAAGCCATGTTTAGTCCTACAACTCTATTCAAGACTGTATTTGTGCAAAATAAGAGTGTTCTTTCTACTCCCGTGTAAGGGTCTGCTTCCTAGCACACAGCAGAAAGGTGGAAGTTCTGGTCCTGCATTCTGTCCATGTTGCCCACGGATACATGGTTACTGGAAGTTGCATGTTCTTCCTTGTCACAGGCAGCGCCAGCTGTGGACGGTCATGCACTGTGCTTCTAGTCATTCCCTGGACGTGGTCCTTCTCCATGACCCCAGAAGGGAAATGCATGTGGGATAGGCCAGCTTTCCCCTTTAGGGCTTTATCTCTTTTGTTTCTGTAACATCACAGGGAAGGACTAAATGGGTAATACGACTTAATGTCTGTCTGAGGGAAGAAAAGGGCTACTTTCAGAGTATTCTTCAAGTTACGCCTCCACACATACTGTGTATTGCATTCCATTTTTTTCATTTATCACTTTGGAAGCTGTATAAGACAAATGCTTGATGCTCATTAATTAAGGTAAATAAATAATAGCCCGTATGAGGAGAGAAACTAATTTTTCCCTATAGGTTTACTCAGAGAGGTAAAGGGTAAATTAAATCATCCAACAGTTACTTATTGAATGCCTACTAATTCATTGACTAATTGTCAGCAAAGGGGATGTAATTATCTATGCCAGGTCATAAGGAAATAGGAACATCTATTCAATTCAATTGAGTAAATATATGTTGGATACCTACTAAATGCTCTGGACTCTTGAGGAAATTGGGGTATTTAATACAACACTGACCCCAAAGTCCATGGGCTCTTCCTTAGTCTATCATTTAATCATTTGTTCATCCAACCAACAAAAGTTATATAATATATGGAGAGTGAGACATATAAGTAAAAATAATCATAGTACATGTGATGACTTCCATGATGGAGATATATAGGCAATACTATAGGAATAAAGGAGATAAAATGATTTTCTCTCACCCTGTGGGGGAAGCCAGATAAGGATTCTTCTCAGAGGCCATAAGGTTGGAACTGTATCCTCCAAAATTAGGATTTAGAGAAGCAAATCATACACATGAAAAGAAATTGAGAGAACATGGCATTAAATCATTCCAACTGTGAAGATTAGAAAATTTGATATTGAGGTAGGATAAGTATTAACCAGATTATAAAGATGATAGATTCAATCTGAGTTAATAAATCAGTGAGAATAGTAATAAGGGGGAGAATAGGGACAAAAAAGGGTTACAGCCTGCAGTAGTTTATTTAGATTTTCTTAGTTTTTGCCTCGTGTCAGTTTTCTGTTACAGGAGCTGATAATCATTATTTTGTTTGTTTTTAGGTACTTCTTACAAAAATAAAAGCACTGAATAACTTTCCAATGGCAATCCCACCCCCTACTCCTGACAAATACCTTCATAGCATCATTTGGCTGGAAAATAAAGATGTTCTCATTGAATTCTTCAAGGTAAAGATTCTGTCTTCTATTCTGGCTCAGATTTTATTATAATTGTTTTCTATTTTTCCACTTCCTAATGCAAGATTAACAGAGAAGCATATTGAAAGCATGAATCCTATACTGACCAATTCAGGGTAAGCCAAAACGGAGACCCGGCAAAGCCCAGAGGAAGAGTTGATTTCTTTTTGAGCCTGAAGGGCAAAGATAGTTTTTCCACAATGGCTTAAGTGCTTAGGATGAGCTTTCTATGTTTCCTGATTATTACTAATCCCATTCTGTTTTATGTTGTGGAGTTCTGGACTTCTAGATACACACTCTGGAAGAGACACTTTTTTTTTTAAACAAGGGCCTCAAATTTAAATTATTGCACAGGCCAGGCAGATAAAATTAAAACCAATGGGGTGAAGTATAATAGGGAACAGTGAGAAGTGTGGTGTATTTAAGTTCATGCTCTGTCCAAAGTCATCTGAGTGTTGCTACAGGAATTTGGACTCTTTTTCAACAAATATCTATTACATATCCTCTATGAACCAGAGACCATCCTAGGTTTTGGGATAGAGCAGTGAACAAAATAGATGAAGTCCCTACGTTCACAAGCCTTATATTATATGGATGGGGCTAGACAATAAACACAGCAAACACCAACACATAAATACATACTCTATCTGGTAGTGATAAGTGCTATGGAGAAAAATAAGGTGAGACGAGGGAATATTTTGGGGCAGCTGTTTTCTGTGGAGTGGTCAGGGAAGGCTTCTGTAGTAAGGTGACTTTGCAGAGATCTGAAAGAAGTGAGGGAGCAAACCACGTAGA